AATAGGAGTATAGCATCTAGATCAAGGGAAGTAATAGTGCCACTGTATTCTGCTCTGGTCAGACCTCACCTGGAGTACTGTGTCCAGTTCTGGGCACCACAGTTCAAGAAGGACATTGACAAACTGGAACGTGTCCAGAGGAGGGCAACCAAAATGGTCAAAGGCCTGGAAACGATGCCTTATGAGGAACGGCTAAGAGAGCTGGGCATGTTTAGCCTGGAGAAGAGGAGGTTAAGGGGTGATATGATAGCCATGTTCAAATATATAAAAGGATGTCACATAGAGGAGGGAGAAAGGTTGTTTTCTGCTGCTCCAGAGAAGCGGACACGGAGCAATGGATCCAAACTACAAGAAAGAAGATTCCACCTAAACATTAGGAAGAACTTCCTGACAGTAAGAGCTGTTCGACAGTGGAATTTGCTGCCAAGGAGTGTGGTGGAGTCTCCTCCTTTGGAGGTCTTTAAGCAGAGGCTTGACAACCATATGTCAGGAGTGCTCTGATGGTGTTTCCTGCTTGGCAGGGGGTTGGACTCGATGGCCCTTGTGGTCTCTTCCAACTCTATGATTCTATGATTCTATGATTCAATATAGATAGAAAGCTTCTGCTCTTAATTCAGGCACTCCACGCAAACACGGCTCTTAGAGTCAGGTGTAGCCGCCTAGGGCACCTAACGGACCCATTAAAACCTTCAAAGGAGTCTGGCAAGGATGCCTATTGGCCCCTCTACTATTCAATTTCTATTTAAATAATTTAGTATCTGCACTCAATGACTCAGAACTCCACCCTCTGAAGCTCGCAAATCAGCATATTTCGGTCCTGCTATATGCCGATGAGGCGGTAATTCTATCTAGAACCCCCATTGGACTCAAAAGAGCACTAAGGAAGCTCGCAGCATACTGTGAAACTGAATGTCTCAAAATCAACTATCAAAAGACCAAGATACTCGCTTTTGGGGGAAAACCAAAGCTTAGAAGCTGGGAACTCTAAGGCCATAAATTAGAACAAGTCACAAATTATAAGTATCTAGGAATGGTGGTACAGGCCTCAGGAACCAACAAACTTCACATAAACTCCATCGGGAGCTCAGCGGAAAAACCGCAAACTGTATCCTTAAATTTTTCAGAGCACAAGGGGGCTTCGTCATCCCCACGGCTCTAAAATTATACAAGGCCAAAACTTTGGCACAGCTCCTTTATGGATCCTTTCTGGGCCCGCCTTCCTCTGCTTTCTCCCCGCTTGAGAGAGTTCAATCCAAACTTCTTAGAGCTCTCCTCCAAGTCCCCAGATGTGTTTCAAACGCATGGGTTAGACTAGAAACGGGGATGATGAGAGTGGAGGCTTATATCTGCCTAACATCAGTCTACAAATGGCTGACATTGAATCTGCTCCCCCGAGGGATAGCCCCATTGATCCTCTGCGATCAATTCCAGTCAGGCTGGCAGACTGCAGACCTGAACACCCTTCAGAAACTGGGTTTTGCCCCTCAAGCCCTTCTGAGCCTGGGGCCCCACTCTCTTGGTCCCCCCCCCCCAATTTAAAGGAAATAAAACCTGGATGTACATTTCCAAAATATAAGGTAAAAAATATAAAAATAAAACCTACAGACAGCAACAGTGTTTTGTGTTGTGTAGGGACGCGGGTGGTGCTGTGGTCTAAACCACTGAGCCTCTTGGGCTTGCCGATCAGAAGGTCGGCGGTTCGAATCCCCGCGACGGGGTGAGCTCCCGTTGCTCGGTCCCTGCTCCTGCCAACCTAGCAGTTCGAAAGCACGTCAAAGTACAAGTAGATAGATAGGTACCGCTCCGGCGGGAAGGTAAACGGCATTTCCGTGCGCTGCTCTGGTTCGCCAGTCATGCTGGCCACATGCTGGCCACATGACCCAGAAAAACTGTCTGCGGACACATGCCGGCTCCCTCGGCCTATAGAGCGAGATGAGCGCGCAACCGCAGAGTCGTCCGCGACTGGACCTAACGGTCAGGGGTCCCGTTACCTTTTAGCCATCACAAATAATACTGCTTTCTCTCAAAGTTGACACCTTTCACGAAAACTGATAAGTTACCTGTTGTAGGGAATCATTTCTCCTCTTTTCTTAATCCAAACCCACACTTTTAAGCCACTTACTTAAGCAAACTTAGACAAATTCTTTTCGAAGAATAACAAGGGTTGAGAGGAGGGCTAGATGTTACCTGGTTTTCAAAATCGGGATAGAGCACCAGCTAAATTTTGCAATGTACCAATATATCACCATGTCTGCAATCAGGATGGAGCTATGTAGAGGCACTAGCTGGCTTCACAGTTTTTCCCGCATGGTGATTTTTGCATAGAGCACACACACATACTTTAAGGCTGGGCAATGTATCAATACATTTGGGGGTGAGGAAATAAGTTTGAAGTCCACAGCGTGGTAACAGTGCCATAATATTAATCACAATGTGTGCGCGTGCCGTGTAAAAACCATTATGTGGGAAAAACCGTGAAGCCAGTCATCGCTTCTCTCATGGTTCCTTCTGTCCCTGTTGCTCTGCACTACAAAATAACAGTTGTAAGTGTCTTAAAGCTAAGTAAAAATGTATCTGTTTTAGACCCCTAAGTAGCAGCAGTTTTCAGGACCTTACCCCCTTCACCTCTACATAGAGAACCCCTAGATATGCCTCTGCGCGTAGGATGTGATCATGCTGTAGGTACAGTCGTACCTCGGAAGTCGAACGGAATCCGGTCTGGAAGTCCGTTCGTCTTCCAAAATGTTTGGGAACCAAGGCGTGGCTTCCAATCGGAAGCCTCGTAGGCCGCGTTGGACGTTCGGGTTCCAAATAACGTTCGCAAACCGGAACCCTCACTTCCGGGCTTGCAGCTTTTGGGAGCCAAAACGTTCGACTTGCAAGGCGTTCGGGATCCAAGGTACGACTGTAAATTTATTAGATTGCCACATATTAAACAACTGAATCAAGCAAGAGGAACAAAACACAAGGACACATTTGGCGGAGAACAGTGAAACTTTATTGCATTTACAAACACACTGGGAAATCAAAGGCAAGCCCCCAAAGTTTGCACCAATTTATGGATTGTACTCTTTTTATTTACTGTTTGCTATATATAAAAAAAATCTGCTACTACTTTAAGTGAATGGATAGGACCACATTAGGGTGTCTCAAGAATATGGTGGATAAAATGCTAATGATTTGTGTTGCTGTACTGTAAAGGATGGGGGGCGGGATTCAACACATTTTTATATGAACAAGTTTATGCCTAAACATTAATTGTACCCTTTCATTATCTGCTTTTCAAAATCAATCTAGGGTTTCCCACTTTACTCATTTTTTGATACGGCCTTTAAAAAGAAATCCTGGAACACCTCCCCGATTTCTTTGTTATACTGTAAATTTGTAAATAGCTACTGCAATCGATTTTAGCTCATTGAAACAAGTATCATGTTATATATATTATATATGTTTTCCATTTTTAAAAACTTTGTGTCAAGCTAAAAACCCTGTGCATCAAAACCGTGGTCAGTTTAGCAGTGATGCCCGAGACAAGTGACTGTCCTTGAAGGATATCAAATTACACGGTAGGCGGATTCCATTCAAGCTGCTGCAGGTGCAGAAGTCTGCTTCAGAAGCTGCCATTTGGGATCATCTGGGAAGTGCTAATAATCAGAACAGGATGGTTGAGGAAGTAAATCACATGGTACCTGAAAAAGAGAGGTCAATAGTGCAGTATTTAGCAACACTATCTAAATCAGCAATAGGGGCAAACAAAGGTATCTAAGGTAGAGCATGGAATACTTACAGACCCAGTTCAGATGTCAAGTGAAACCATGGTTTAGTATGCTGGGAATGGGCCAAAGCAAGCCTTGGGCTCACACATTCCCCCCCTCCTCCCTCTACACAAGCGGTGAAGAGTTTGGAAACTACATCCTCGTTAGGCTTAACCACAGCTTGTGCCTCACCCAAATCTGATGAACTATGCTTATTGTTGATTGGTTTGATAAGCCATCTTTAAACCATGGCTCATCCAGCTAGCTTGTTTAAACTCTTAATCTCAGGGTCGTGGGTTTGAGCCTCACACGGGGCAAAAATAATAATCCTGCATTGCTGGGGGTTAGGCAAAATGACACTTGTGGTCCCTTCCAACTCTATAATAACTCTATAACTTTAGAACGTTAACCACAGCTGAGAGTCTGGGGTGGTGTGCTAAACCAGCCTTCGCCAATCTGATTTCCTCCAGATGTTGCTGAATTCTTATGTCCCATCAACCACATGATAGTCAGGGATGATGGGACATCATCATCATCATCATCATCATCATCATCATAATTTATTACTTATACCCCGCCCGCCCGCCCGCCCAGCCAGGTCTCCCCAGCCACTGTGGACGGCTTCCAACAGGAGCTTAAAAATACATTAAAACATCAGTCATTAAAAAACTTCCCTAAACAGGGCTGCCTTCAGATGTCTTCTAAACATCAGGTAGTTCTTTATTCCTTTGACATCTGATGGGAGGGCGTTCCACAGGACGGGAGCCACTACCGAGAAGGCCCTCTGCCTGGTTCCCTGTAACTTGGCATCTCGCAGTGAGGGAACCGCCAGAAGGCCCTCGGCGCTGGACCTCAGTGTCCGGGCAGAACGATGGGGGTGGAGACGCTCCTTCAGGTCTACTGGACCGAGGCCGTTTAGGCGGCTTTCAAGGTCAGCACCAACACTTTGAATTGTGCTCGGAAATGGACTGGGAGCCAGTGTAGGTCTTTCAAGTTCTGTGGTCTGGGCGGCCGCTCCCAGTCACCAGTCTAGCTGCCGCATTCTGGATAAGTTGTAGTGCAGGACCTCTGAAAGGGCCTCTGGTTCTCCATCCCTGTTATATACACTGCAGTAACAGCTTGTACATGAGGCTGATTGTGGATGTAACTGTGATATCAAAGGGAACAAGACAGATGCTTCTAATTGGCTTTACCCATTTTCAGTGGTTGATGTTCTTATGACTGCGACGGTCAGTCCTTCTGCATTTAAGTCAGATCATGCTGATGCTCCAGTGTCACCGTCTGTTTCAGAAGCTGCCACTTGGGGTCCTCAGGGAAGTGCTTCTTAATAAACAGAGCGGGGTGAGTAAGGAAGTAAAACTCATCGTACCTGCAAAAGGAGAAGGCGCAATAGTCTAGTATTTCATAATAATGCCTAAATCAGCACCAGGGCCAGACAGGCAAACAGAGTGGTGATCCAGAGCAGCTGGAGGGCATCTGGTTGAGGAAGCTGCTGTGTTGCAACAATCCAGCCTCCAGAATCCCCAGATTTTACACATGTAACTCCAGAACTGTTCAAAGAGGATAAATAGATGGTATCTATCCCTGCCATCAGGACACTCCATGCCCATGGCTTAATAATAAGAATAAGAATAAGAATAAGAATAAGAATAAGAATGAAATATTACTTATACCCCCACCCATCTGGCCGGGCCTCCACAGCCACTCTGCACGGAATAACACTTCAAACATTAAAAACTTCCCTAAACAGGGCTGCCTTCAGATGTCTTCTAAAAGTCAGATAGTTATTGTATTTCCTTGACATCTGATGGGAGGGCGTTCCACAGGGCGGGCGCCACTACTGAGAAGGCCTGGTTCCCTGTAACCTCACTTCTCACAGTGAGGGAACTGCCAGAAGGCCCTCAGAGCTGGACCTCAGGCTGAAGGATGGGGGTGGAGACACTCCCTCAGGTATACTGGGCCGAGGCCATTTAGGGCTTTAGAGGTCAGCACCAACACTTTGAATTGTGCTTGGAAATGTACTGGGAGCCAATGTAGGTCTTTCAGGGCCGGTGTTATATGGTCTCGGCGGCCGCTCCCAGTCACCAACCTAGCTGCAGCATTCTTATTGCACTTGCTTACATTAATCAGCCCTGCGGCCATCAAATTGCAAACTCTGACAAGTGGTCCAAGCAAAACAAAACCACCTGAAAGCAAATGAAGCTAACTGTGAGAGCCAGTGTGGTGTAGTGGTTAAGAGCGGTGGACTCGTAATCTGGGGAACCGGGTTCGCTTCCCTGCTCCTCCACCTGCAGCTGCTGGGTGACCTTGGGCTAGTCACACTTCTCTGAAGTCTCTCAGCCCCACTCACCTCACAGAGTGTTTGTTGTGGGGAGGAAGGGAAAGGAGATTGTTGGCCGCTTTGAGACTCCTTAGGGTAGTGAGAAAGCGGGATATCAAATCCAAACTCTTCTTCTTCTGCTATCCCCTCAGTGTGTCCCACGCTCTGCCTGGTCTGCCTAACAACGTACCTGAAAGTGAACTTGCTAAAAGCAGTATTCACAGAGCCACTTCCCCAGGTGCAGTCTAAGAGATGCCACCTTCCATCAATGCGGACAGCATTCCAGGCGTGGTCGCTCTTCCCCTTTACGCTGCAGCTGCCTATCAAATACTGGCACTGTATCCCTGCAATACTGAGAGGGGAAGGAAGGTATTCAGGAACAGTGTTGCTACCAAGAGGACAAGTGGTTGCTTTCACCGCTTTGATAGGCTGGAGTGGCCGCCCTTCATTTTGCTGGATCAGAGAAAACAGCAATCAGGTTCTCCACAGATTCTCATTTGCTCCAATTTGGCAGGAAAACACAAGTTTTCCTGGGCTGAAAGAACAACAACAACATTTGGACACGGACCTGGAAAGCCAGGACCTGTGCCTATAAAGCACAGAGCAAAGGTAAGTATGGATGAGGAACTAAGTCACACAGGGAAGAGACCCATTAAATTCAAGTAATTTTTAAGTCTATGGATTCCAGTGGATCTACTCAATTCAATGCAGCCCTATATATGCAAGTTTGCTTCAGGATCATTCCTCCACTTACATGGTGGGTCATGTTCTGGAACCCCATGCACATAAGCAAACATTGTGTAAGTAGGGTAAAGGTAAAGGTAAAGGTAAAGGTAAAGGACCCCTGAAAGTTAAGTCCAGTCACAGACAACTCTGGGGTTGCGGCACTCATCTCACTTTACAGGCCGAGGGAGCCGGCGTTTGTCCGCAGACAGTTTTTCCGGGTCATGTGGCCAGCCTGACAAAGCCGCCTCTGGCGCAACAGGACACCGAAACCAGAGCAGCGCACGGAAACGCCGTTTACCTTCCCGCCGGAGCGGTACCTATTTATCTACTTGCACTTTTTGGCATGTTTTCCAACTGCTAGGTTGGCAGGAGCTGGGACCGAGCAACGGGAGCTCACCCTGTCGTGGGGATTTGAACCGCCGACCTTCTGATCGGCAAGCCCAAGAGGCTCAGTGGTTTAGACCACAGCGCCACCCGTGTCCCTGTGTAAGTAGGGAGCACACACTAAAAAAAGCTCATTTTTTCCTGCTCTCCAGCTCTCTCTCCCCACAACACTCCTTTCAACCAGAGTTGAAGCTCTGGAGCTGGCTGGAGGACCTGTGGAAAAGCAGCAGCAGCTGCCATGCTGTGACGTGTGTCAGCTACTAGGTGGGGAGGCTGAGCAGCCTAAACAAAGCCCCACTGTGCCTCCGTTCTCTTTGGGGCTTCCTCCGCTCCCACTGAAGTCCTCTTTGGGTTCTGGCGAGGGTCTCCTCATGAGCCATGAGGACTCTCCAGATCTCTCCCGCCATTTTCTGCTTAGAATCTATTGATTTACATATTTCCGAGGGCTGTCACGTGCGAGTTGATCACGCCTAAGCATGGAGATAGCTGCCTAGGGCAAGGGGTGGGGAACCTGTGGCTCTCCAGATCTCCTATCGCTACAGCCAAGTAACAACCACTTGCCATGATGGCTGGAGCCAACAGAAGTTACCTGCACATTTCTTGAAAGAGTCGAGCATATCCACCGCAAATAGCCTTTCCTGACTGAAGGACATCAGCTGGTTTAAATGACACCTTGTCCAGGTTATAGCAGCCTTCCACATCATATTCTGTAGAAATAAAGACAGTGAGCACCCATTCTGATTTGCTTGTGGGGTGGCAACACTTTGCAACACTTTCCATCGTGTTTCTCAATATCTTTCCTGGTTGCCAAAATCTGACTGGGGGGTGGCGTGGCTTGTCTTGCAAGAGCTCCAAATGAACTTTTGATTGCACAACATCAATTTGCCCATATGTGATTGAATCGCACCTCAAAAGAGAAAGTCTGGAAGCACTCGTAAATCTGCTTTGTGTAGACCCAGGGTCTTGTTGCCAAATAAAAATGCACACTGGTGCAAGGGTTAGGAGTCGGGAGACACCTCCTCTCCTCCCGTGCTGCGACCTTTACTTTATTTTGACAAAGTAATAAGAATAAATAAATAAGAATAAAAATGTGCACCCCACCAGCGAGACCATTCCATTGTAACTATCCAACCTCCCAAACCTTCAACACCTCTAGCGATGGTTTGACCCCTTTCCGTTGTAACAGTACAAATTCTACAAACACCCTCCATATCTCCTCAAAATCATTCCTCCTGCATATTCCCCGTCTTACCTTAATGGCACATGTTCATTTATCATTAATAGCTATGTATCCCACACCTCTTCATACCATTTTTCCATTTTATAGTCTGCTTGCCCCTCCCACTTGCTAGCTATCATAATTTGTGCAGCTTTCAATAAATTTGTGAGCGAGTCCTTCATAGCCTGCAAACCTTCCACCCCATCGTAAATTGATAATAATGCTACCGCGGCACTTTCAGTGAGCTTTAACCCAGTGATTTCTGTTATCAATGAGCACCTCCTGATCCCTTCTGAGATTCATGGCTGAACAGAGATCCCAGTCAAGCTCTGTGTGAGCCAAACACCAAATCGCTGATCCACACAGGTTACAATCCAGAATCCTTTGTGCAAATGGAGCTGACATGACTGGCTATGAAATGGTGAAAATGCCCGAGACAGCTGCAAAGAAGCCATGCTCGGAGTAGACCCACTAAATTTAATGTCCATGAGTTACTTACATCCATTGATTTCAGCCGGTCTACTCTGAATATAACTTGCTTTGATATGACCTTACGTATCCATCTTCCTTGGCTGGCAATCACTGGACTGGGTGTCTGCTACAGAACTCTGCTACAGAGCTGGATTCATGGGCGCAGGGCAGTGACAAAGGCTGATCTTTTAATACCGGAAGTTGTCAGAGGCAAGGGGACTCAAGTATGCAGAAAGGTGGTACCCCCACCTACCTATATGGTGGCAGATCCACATCCAAATGGCTCGCACTTTCTCCAGGTCACTGGGGGCTTTTTGCAGCAAGACACTCACCAGGTTTTTCACGCTATTCCTGACATTCACCTGTTTCACAGAAGGTAAATAGACTTGGAAGCAGTTAATATGGACGAGGGGGTACCAGTTCCTTTCTTCTACCTAAGTCCACTTGTTTAAAGAAATTTTAGGGTGCAATCCTGCGTGCACTTACAAGAGTGTCTCTTGCTGAATTCACTGGGATTGCACAGTTAGTCGATTAAGTGTATGTGTTTTACTTGATTGATCAATCAAAGAATTTATTATACTTGCCAAAAATGTACCCTTGGGGGGGAAGTTGTTCTGAAGGGAGACGCATGATTAACCTTTCCTTTTTCCAGGGTTCACAGGCATGTTATTTCTACAATCTTCAGCTGAAACCCAAATCCTCTTTGCTACTGTCTCCCCACAAGTGCAGAGTTCCCCATTGCTACTGGCAGAGGAACGGGGGAGCGCACTGCCCCGGCACCATCGGGGAGGGGGTACCATTGCGGCCGCCCCCGACATGCGCCGTGCACCCCCCCACGTGCCGGGCACCACGCCCCCAGGATGCATGTCACGCCCCGCAGGCGATGTGCCACGCCCCCGGGACACACGCCAGCCACGCCCCTGCCTGCTCTCCGCCCCTGGTGCCGGAGCATGCAGCTTCGCCACTGCCCATCGCACCTTTGGGTGGGTGGAAGTACAACTGGGGGGGGGGCATTCTGGGGGCAGGGAGGGACCAAGGCAACCCTGGATCCTGGGCCGGCCCTACTGTTGTCACTTGACAGCACTGGGGGAAACCCAGGGCTGATTACTGCACCAGTATATTAATTTTATGCCAGTTTAATTCTGGCGAGGCCCCCCAGAGATTCCTGGGAGTTGTGGTTTGGCAAGGGCACTGAGAATTTTCTGTTAATGACTGCTAGCCTTGTTCACACAAGTATAGTACTCGGAGTTCCCCGAGGAGAGGAAATAACTACCAAATCAATTTCGGTCTGTAGTATAAATACGATCGAAAGTGAATTGTGAAAGAGAGAGGAGTCGTTCAAACCCTTTCATATTGCCTATGATTGCTAGCTCTCCTCCGAATTGACTTTGGAGCTATCTCCTGAATTTTTAAAGCAAAGCAATGCTGCAAAATAACTAAATATGGGTGTATATACATGCATTTAATTCACGCACGCACACAGAGAGAAAGAGAATCCTGTGGTTTGTTAAGGGTTCTAGGATTTGTAGCTCTGTGAGGGGAAAACTACAGCTCCCATAGTTCTTTTGGGGAGTTGGTGTTCTTTAAATGCATGGTGTGTGCAGCGCATGTGAATAGGTGCTCCACCGTGTTAGTTTTCTGGAAAACAGGAGCAGGGTCTTGTGACTCATGATGTTCCCAGTTCGGACCTTCCATCTCAACAGAAGTAATTGCCTCCTATCAGGAGAGGACACTTGAAAGCACTCTCAAATTCCAAATGCACATTAAAAACCTCAGCATCCTAGCAAATTCCTTGCTGCATATATCACAATAAGAGACAGCATACCTTCTGTGCATAGGCATCCAGTTCCTTAAACTTTGCCAAGTCTATTTGTATTGATTTCTGATTGGATTTATCCCATGGATAATCTAGGAACAAAAATGGAAACGTCATTCTTGAAACAGTGGGGAAAGGGAGGGGGAGCAGAGGATGACCTATGATGTGATTTAAAGGGTTGGAATACAGGGAACCAATAGGGAATAGAGATAGGGAGCCTTTTCTGCTTCTCCCCAAGGGAAATACAGCAGCAGGGAGTAGACCAACGTTGCTCTGCTTAAAAGGACACAGACAGAAGGAAGGAGAGGGAGAATGCTGAACCAGGTAGGATTTTGATCTGATCTTGCAAGACCACAAGGCGTATGGCATGGTTTGCACTTCCCACTGGAAGAGCTGGTACCTCCTTAGAGAAGCCCTCTTCGCACCAAACATCTGGCTTTGATAGGAATCCCTTAACCCCGGCTGCAAATTTCACTGCATCCGTCTGCAATGTGCATTCAACAGAACGCCAACTGCAAGCTCATTTCAGGAACTATAATGGTAGCATAACAAGAACACAAACAGGGCTGCTTGAGGTGAGGGAGGAAATGTACCCACCCACCCACATGCCACATATTGAAGCTCCAGCCTTAGAGGAAAAAATATAGTGCAGCTTTTCCCCAGGCAGAACTCACTGGAACTGAGTTCTGGCACCTCTCAGGTTGGTGCCATTGCCATTGTAAAAGAACACGGGAAGCGTTCGTGGTGAGGTCGGGCACCTCTTTTCTAGAAAAATAACACTGAGCGCAGTTAATTTTTACCATTCAAGCCTTGTTCCCAGGATATCCCAAGAGGTGGGTGCAGAGATGTAGCTTGGGGGGGGGGGAGGGGGGCACTGGGCGCCACACCACAGGGGGCAGCACTTCCCGCGGGGCCAGAAGCGCGCCCGAGCCACGCATCTCTCCTGGGAGTGACGTGGTGGCTTGGGCCCCTGAGCGGCTAGCTACGCCACTGGGTGGTTGAGTGACGGGCTCATAAAATGATTTCCTAAGATACGCAGCACTACTAAGTAGTATTAATATATACGGCAGGTGTAGGGGATCTTTGGCCCTCCAGATGCTGGGGAACTACAGCTCCCATAATCCCTGGCCATGCTTGCTGGGACTAACAGGTGTTGTCACCCAACAACATCTGGAGGGCCAAAGGTTCCCTGCAGCTGACACAGAGGATCCAGATCAATAGCCATACATAAGCTTCTATTTACCATACAGATCTTCTTCCTGAGGCAGCATTGATGCTTGTACTCCTCCCATCCTGAAAGCCTACTTGAAAGGCGCTCCTTGGTGCTTCGAGCCAGGAATGAAATGCCCAACTGGAGGGATGAGGGAAGAGCATGGCTTGATCTGGGTTTATCAAACCCTTGCTTGGAGACCTTGGCATTAGGAGACGAGTAGCAGGAAGAGCATCCATGAAGTCAAAACAAAGGGGGAAAGCATAACATGTTTGAGCAAACCAGCGCTGGAGTGTGTCAAAGTTCCCTGCGTGGGGAAGCGCAGATACAGAAGGTGTCCCCATTGCTCATTTCCTCTCCCCTCCTGTGGTTTCCAGCAACTGGTATTCAGAAGCATTTCTGCCTCCAACTGTGAAGGCAGAGCATAGCCATCAATGCTAGTAGCCATTGATAGCCCTCTCCTCCAAGGACGTGTCTAATGCTCTTTCAAAGCCATCGATGTTTCGAGGCCTTCACGGTCTCTTGTGGGAACAAGTTCCATAGTTTAACTATGTGCTCCATGAAAAAGAATATATATTTAGTAATTAGATGCTTCTTTGAGGTTAGCTATCCGACGCATCAGCCTTGTTAGAATTTCTATTTCGCTGCCAGGCCCCCACCCTATTTCTTGAAGCATCTAGCTAGAAGCTTGTGCCAGCTTCCTCAGGTTGGCTCTCTCCAGCTAGGCTGAATAGGTGGGAAACTTTTGGACTTTGCGTGCCAGATCCTTATTGGGATCTGTATCTTGGGTCAAAATCCCTTTCACTACCAACAAAGAGACATCAGGCCTAAAAGGGAGGAGGGAAAGAGCCTAATATCACTACAGTCTTGGAGAGTCTCCCCCTTTTAGGACTGCAGTGAGATCAGGCTTAAAGGAAGGAGGGAAGCCTTCGGGAGCCCCCACCTCTCTCTTGAAGAGCTCAGCAAGCTTGGGCTTCACAGGGAAGGGAAGAAACCTCTCCCTCCTTTTTTAGTGCTCAGAAGGATCTGAAGGGATGGGCAATTCTACTTAGTACTGAGTACTGGCTCGCCAAAGAGCTCTCTGCCAGGAGTGCCATGGCTCAGCCCAACTGAATGGGATGTTCTGCGTTGATATGAAGGGGGAGCCATCCTGCTTAGCAATGGGTCCCTGGTTTCTGCATTTCTTCAGAGGATCCTGACAACTAGTCCCATGCTTTGAGGGCTGTGCAAAGAAAGCAGCTTTGGAAAGCCATGTCCTATCAGTCAAGCCTCACCCCTTACCTGCATGTGAGAATGGCCTCATGGACCAAATGGGGAAGACTTGGGGAGGGGGCAAGATGTGCTCAGAGGTCAGACGTTCCCCACCCCAAAATTTCACCTCAGGAACCGATGGACTCTTACTTTGCCTCACAATCGTTTTGAAATGTGCCGGGTTTTCGACGTTCGGGAGCCGAAACGTTCCAAAACGCAGGCGTTCGGGAGCTGAGCTTTGACTGTAATATATTGGCGTCCGCATGAAATCCGCCCCATCCCATTGTTGTCCCGTGTCTTTAAATGCAGGGTTTTCCCATCCTTTGGAAGTCCAAAAGGGGCATGATCTTTGTACTTAGCACACGACTGAGTGCTAGCAGTAGGAGGAAGTGCAGGGGCTGAGCCCCAGAACAAAATTCCCCCCATCACTGATTCTTGTTTCTTTTCTTATCAAGGCAAAATCCTACGTGTCTTTGCTTTTCGAAAGATCTCCAAGGGTACAAGGGGATCCCTCAGCTCAATTCTAGCAAGCGGGACAGTTCTTGAGTTTTGTGGTTACACATCAATAGTCAGCCAGTCTCCTGAAAGTGCCATGGGGCCTGTTATGTATTCAGTGGTCTTGAGTCTGGACTAAGGATTCTGAGCTCCTGTGTTCTGATTCGATACATGATATCCAATCACAGAACATTTCTGGATTTGGGCTTCTGCCATTGGCCCTTAAACTCTGAGTCATGATTCGCAGCTTGGAAGTTTAGACAGCCAATCACGTGGGGAGTGGGAGCGGTCCAGGTCTTCAGAAATGTCTATAAGCAGTTGCTTCGACCCTGTTGTCCAGTTCAGTTACCAATCAACTCCTGTTTTTGCTTATCTTTAATCTTTTCCGAGAGACTATCTATCACACAGGATCTTAGAAAGTTTGTCCTCAATACTGTCCTCTTCACATATATGGGGACATTCACCACCTGCACAGGCTCAATGTTTCCACATATTAAAGTAGCAAAAGTCCACATTAGCGGTGAATGTGAATTGCCACAAGCAATCTTGATTGCTTCTTAGCCCTCTCTAAGCAACATACAAACACGTACTCTAATGTAATTATTCTGTTCTAGTTGGCAAGCGGCTGCTAAGGTCACTTTGGTTTGACATCAAGGTTACTAATAAAGAAATAGAGGTGTTATACTGTATATATATATATATATGGCAATTATATAAATAATGTGTGTGTGTGTCTGTAGCCACCCCCAACGACACGTTCTCAAGATGGAGGGGGAGGGAACAGCTGCAGTCGCCTGCGGTTCCTGCGCAATGTTTGCCATCTTGCCAAAGGTTGCAGGCAGCTTTACCTGCAGCAATTGCATGTTGATTGCCCTTTTAAAAGACAAAGTCCAGCAACTGGAGGACCGTGCAGCTACGCTCCAAAGAATCAAAGAGCTGGAGCTCTTCTTGGAAGCAACAGAGCACACCGTCTCCACCAAGGAGGAGACAGGGGACTCCCCTGAGAAGGAGGCTAGTTCACCAACACAGGAGCCAGATATATGGAGAAACATGAATCAAAGAAGTAGGAGGCCCAGGGTTCGCTCTGATTGTTTAGAAATACACAATCGCTTTGAGGTCCTCTCCCCTAGCATGGAAGACGAAGAGCAGACTCCATTTGAGGATCTCTCCCTCATTACAGTCGATCAGGTATATGAAGACGAGCAGCAAAGTCAGTCCTCAGGGAATGTGCAGGCGACCTTGGAGCGGACAGCTCACGGAAGAACCCCGACCAAACCTAAGAGGAGGCGTGTAGTGGTGATAGGGGATTCCCTACTGAGGGGAACAGAAGCAGTGATCTGTGGGCCTGACAAGATGTCTCGGGAAGTGTGCTGTCTCCCCGGGGCTAAGATCCAAGATGTAACTGAACGACTGCAAGGAATCATAAAACCCACTGACAAATACCCCTTCCTTCATGTGGGAACCAATGACACTGCAAGCAATAGCCTCCAGAAGATCAAAAGAGACTACGAGGCTCTGGGCAGGAAATTGAAGCAATTAAATGCACAAATTGTGATCTCATCTGTCCTCCCAGTTGAACGACGTGGCCCAGGGAGAGAGGGGAAAATAGTGGAAGTGAACAGCTGGCTTCGCAAATGGTGTAAACAGGAACGGTTTGGATTCTTAGATCACGGACTGCAGTTTCTTGAAGATGGACTTCTGGCAAGCGATGGGCTGCACCTCACAACGGTTGGGAGAAATGTTTTTGCCAAAAATCTCAGAAACCTCATCAGGAGGGCTTTAAACTGACTAATGTGGGGAGGGAGACAGTGCTCCTGAAGGTAGGAGTCTATCAATTGATGAAGATGATCGTCCAAATGTCATAGACCAAATGGAGCAAACAGCACACAGACCTAGTGGTTGGAGGATAAAATACTTAAATAAGAGTCACGGGGAATGATTAATGGACTTCAATGTCTGTACACTAATGCGCAAAGCATGGGAAATAAACAAGATGAGCTTGAGCTCTTGGTACAGCAAACTAAATATGACATAATAGGCATCACTGAAACCTGGTGGGATAAGTCCCACGATTGGAATGTAATAATGGGGGATACAATCTATTTCAGAGAAACAGACCAGACAAGAAAGGAGGAGGAGTGGCGTTATATGTCAGGGATGT